AAAATCTTCAAAATTATGAATTTCTTTTTATTTTTCAAAATCCTAATTTATTATTGTGAATATATATATATATATATATATATATATATGTGTACACATATATATATATATATATATATTCTAATAATTACCTATATAATTAAGTAGAAGTAGATAAAATAGATTAATTTTATAATATATTCTAAAAAAGTTTTTTAAAGCTTCATGAATGCAACTTTGACTTTATACATATTTATAGTTGATTGATAGATTAAAAACTTGGTCAATAAGCTAGATATTATATATAGATGAAATAATAAAGCCTTCTTCACTCTTGTCAATGCCTTTCTTGTTCTTAGTCTAATTTCAAGAGTCTATAATCTTCTTATCTTAAGCAATAGCCATTCTAGTCTTAATACTATATTACTTTTGGAGTAAAATTATTTATTCTTCTTAAATTACATAAGAATGTTTTAAGGTTCTTCTTATTTTTATTTATGTCCTTGACACCCACTTAATATATCTCTTATTTTGAAAAGCCTTGAGAACCTTCTATATTCCTACAAATTACATAAAATCAACTCTCAAAAATCTTTTTTTAAGTTTTTTCTTGAATCCCTCTCTTTGATCTATCAAAAAACCTTGAAGCCATTACATGTATGTTGTTTTATACCTCAATGTTTGATTTCGACCTTGATTCACAAGAGGTTCTCTTTGGATATTAATTCTTGATATTTTGAGATAATTTTTGTTAAAACTTATTTTCAATTCCTTCCTGAAGTTTTTTATATTAATTATATATTTTATTTATTTTTATTTGGCTCATTTATGGTCTAATAAAATAAGTATAAGTCTCTCCAATAAGAAGATAGTATTAACACTTATTATTTTTTACTACCTCCTCGTCTATTATCTATATTTTTAAGATAATTTTTAAAAATATTTTCATTTAAGCTCCTCTAAAATAAAATATTTTTTTCTTTTTTCTCTTTTTCTTTTTTTTCACCTAATAGCTATGTTGTTATACAACAATGCATTGAAGAATATAAAAAAACAAAATAAATGAGGGATGGTACTACAATCAATAGAAATGATGGTATTAGTAGAAAAATTGTTCAATCTATGAATCTTTGAATAAATATATAAAATAGGAAAAGAGCACAAGAAGAAGTAATTCTACATGTACAAAAAAAAAATTAATAGAACATAATAAAGTGAAATTTTTTGATAAACCAATAAAATAGCTTTCTCATGAAAGTCATAACAAAAGAAAAATATTAGAAGATTGTCATAATGTTGGAAATATGAAAGTTTTATGCTCACATTATAGAGCACTTTATTGGATGGATGAACAAATTTTTCCATTGACAAAATTAAATCCATAATTTGGTACAAGTTATTTTCATAGAAAGATTGAACTATTGCTTTTTGAAGATCTTATATTATTAATTAGATAACTACTTAATAGACATGATAAATAAATTAAGAATTTTTAGAAGATTATTTAATAATATAATGTAGCATACAAATTTATATTATTTAGTATAAAAATCAATAATATTGCCTTGCAATAATATGATCTACATAGTTTTTATATATTTAAAGAGTTTTGATATCAAAAAGATAATCGTTTACCAAAGCAAAGTATAAATATAAGTTATATGCAACTTTATATTTATAATCCAAATATTTTTTAGGAAATAAGAATCGACACATAATTCTAGTTTATTTGCTTAGATAATGTAGGCTTAACATTGAATGAGGCCTAACAAAACAAACATGTTTCAAGAATGTTTAAGAGAACATCATGTATTTTTTTTGCTTTGCTGATAAGCTTATGAAATATTGTTTGAAGCAACAAAAAGAAGAAAGATTAATAAATAATATATACATTATCTTAATTTTAATAAAAATATCAACAAATATTGTTGTAATCTTTTCAAATTTTAATTAGATTTTTTTTATTATGCCACACAATAGAACAAAGATAGAAGGGATGAGAGATATAGCCGTCCAATAGAAAAAATGTCCATTGCAAAAAATTTATAATGAATATCCTTCATACTTAGTACTACACTATGTTATTTTTTTTTCATGTGGAGAATGTGGATAGCATGATCAAATGAGATATAGAAATATGAATACTAATGAAGATGGATTTAATAATACATAAATTGCACATATTACTCAAATGGATTTTAACTTGTATTGATTGTTTTCACAATATTACAAGTACTTGATTATCTTACAAGACAAAAAGTTGCTACAAAAATTTACTATGGATGTCTAGGCAACAATAGAGCAAAATCAATTGAAATACTTTAGTATGAATGAAGATAGGTTACATGCAATGTATATGAAGGAATAGCAAATATTTTTTAAGATATGCATAACTAAGAAGTTGACATGCAAAATCTAGGGTAGAAGATAATTATTTAATTGTCTCATATTAGAAGTACAAGAAATCTATTTGAATTTTTTTGACCTTTAATGGCCATTATTCAATACTGTCTACATCCAAATATATTTGATATAATAATTGAAAATCTTTAGTGGCTATAGTTTTTAAGCACACTGATTTTAAGACAAAGATTCAAGGATTGTCTCAACTTAATAGCAAGAATATTTGAATTTAAGAGTCATGCATTAATTGAAGATATTTATAAACATCTCATTTTTGGACATGTACTTGCAAGAGTGCATACTATTGAATTTCAAAAGTAAAGTCTTTTTTTTACATGTACTTTTGGACAAAATAACAAAGTAAAAGATCTAATTATTATTGATAGGATTGTTTATGCAAATTTTCTTATTAACGAAGAAGATTCGTTGTTATTTGAGACAATTAGCACTTGTATGATTTACAACCTATGTGAATCTCAAAATATGCAAGTTCTATGTATAATAGATTCAATATACAAAAAGAAATATTCAAAAGAAAGTCAAGAAAGTAATATTGATGGATGGTGATGGCTATCTCCAATATGATAGACAGAATGATAGAAGAACTTTCAATCTTGAGATGTTATTGTATATAATCTTATTCATAGTAAATAATATAATTATTATATCAACATTAAGGTTTGTTCTTTATTTTTTGCTGTGAAATACATTCATAATACAAGTATATTTATTAAAGGTCATAATTTTATAATAATGTAAATTATAAATGAGGAAATTGACATCAAACAATATAATGATATATGGTATATGAGGAAGCATGGTGTTTGTTTGGAATGAAGGTCAAATATCCAATAATATTATTGAAAAACATTACTTCAGATTAAAGACTTTATAATGGATCTTGCTTTGCCATTATACACCTAATTGATTGAGTTATAGAAACAAGACTATTCTACACACTACAAGGGACAATTAGATTTTCTTTTAGGACCTATATTATATCTATTATCTCCAAAGATTTTGTTCAAGTTATAGCAAAGGAAATTTTAAATAAAAATGAGATTTGCAATAACTATTAATAAATATCAAGGACAATTATTAAAGAACATGAGAATAAATCTTAAAATCTTTTTATTTGCATGTAAACAATTACATGTTATCTTTTCTTGTTGCACTTCTTCAAATATAATTAAGATCCTATTTCTTAAATATAATAAAGACAAAAACACCACCGTAAATATATTTTATTTCAAAGTTCTTTTAACTTATTTATTTATATTGTTGTAGTAAATAAAAATTATATTTTTTAATTACACTAAAGAAACATAAATGATTTCATTGTTATGCATATATATATATATATATATATATCTATATATATCTATATATATATATTTTTCTTAATCAACATCTCTTTAAATGTGGTCAATATTTTACTTAGCAACCACAAATTAAACTTTTATAATTTTTTTATAGCCCACAACATAGGTTTCTACTATATACATATATACTAATATAATGTTCTTTCTATTTATTAATATCATCTATTGCAATGAAAAAAATTTAGTTGTTAAAGATATTAATCATCACATGGCATATTGAAGACAAAGTGGAAATCATTCTTACTAAGCCCTTTGATCATACCATGCTTCTTTCTACCAAAGCAGCCATATGGCCTTGCTTGCCCAATCACATATATCTACATGGCCTTTATTAATCACCTCTCTTAATTTATAAAAATTAATAAAAATCAATTAATTATTAGATATTAGAGGTTATTGAATATGCAACACAAAATAAAATTGGTTTCTAAAATTTTAATAAATTATTATAGATTATAAGTTTTTAGAAAATTAATTTTAAAAAATATTAATAATATATATATATATATATATATATATAATAATAAACTTTTGCACTTGTATTAACAAATAGATGTAATTATTAAAAAAATATTTTTTATTTTATTTCTTTATTGATATATATATCCATCAATATTAACTTATATGTTCTAGAAAGAATACTTGATTTTAAATATTTATCTTTAATAGAATTTCGTAGCACATATTAACATTAGTTTTATTATAATGAATGTATACACAACTAAATAGAAATGATTTTAGATAAATTTTAATAATATAGTCTTCAATATCACAACCCAAATTTCAATTTTTTTTTTGAAGAATAAAACTTATAAAGTTCTAAAACATTCTGAAGATAAAACACTCAAATTTTAAAATCTTAGATGATTTTTTTTTTGAACCAAAAAATTCAACATATATAATTGAAAACTTCCAACTGTATATTACTCTTCAAAACTAGCATCATAATAACAACAACAACAGCAATATTTAGATTTGAAGCAGGTGCAAAACAGGGCAATAAGATGGGGAAGGGCTGAGAATGTCTCCAAAAAGTGTGCCAGGGGGGGGGGGGGGTGGATGGGGAGTCTCTCCCCGCTTTTGCAATCATGCCCTAACCACTGCGCTCCATGACCAACATTTGTACAGGGGATTGGGGGGTGAGATACAGGATGGGCATGGAACTCATGACGAAACTTCGTCGCATACACCGGAACCAGGGCTCTATAACAACCAGGCGGTTAAATAAGCAGGGCGAGCTTGGCCCTTTGTTCCGCTCCCAACTCCCCCATCGTCTATTCAGCATCGGCACCGACTGAAGGCACCCCGCCGCGTTGCCTTCGTCGTCTCGTCTGCCGCTGCATCTCTTTCTCGTCCCTGCTCTTATCTTCGTCGCCATCCTTTCACCCGCTTCTCCGACCCATTTTAGTCTGCCTTAACAATTCTTTACTGCCCATCTTGCTCCTCCGGCGCATGTTGGTGTCATTGCCCGCATTGCAGTTGCAGGTGGTGTTCGTGTAACTTCGGCTCTGAAGGAGCTCGTCTCTTTTCATATCTGGCGGACCAGTCAGGGTCGAATTGTGAAATTTATGCTAGGTGCTGTAGCTCCGCCCGAGGATATTACGTGAGGAGTATTCTTTAGGGCTTTCTGGATTTTGTTTGAATTAGTATGTGTTTGTGTTTGTGGAGAGGGGTAATGTTTGGGGGGTTTTGTTGTTCAGGTGTGTGTTGGGATGTGGAGCATTCGGTTGGTGGGGTTCGGATGTTCGGCGATTTGAATGTGAGGTTGTAATTGTGGTGATTTTTGAATGGCTTTGGAGGTCTGGGCACCTGGGTTTGCATGGGGTATGCGATGGGTTCCATGTGACGTGCAGGCGTTGCTCATGGTGAGATAGGGTGTATTAGAATGTGGAGGGTTCTCGGCGGTAGAGTACCGACTGGAGAACTGTTGGTGTTTGGGTTATCTGGTGGGTTGTGAAGGTAGGGGGAACGGGAACAGTGTCATAAGTTTTTGGCCTCATGTTGATCTTGTGCAGGAGTTGAGAGAAGTTTTGGTAGGGATTGAAAAAACGGAAGGATATTTTTTCCATAGTTCGGTGCGAGGTTTGTTTGTGCTCTGTGTTTTTGGCACCGAACCTGAGACATGTAAAGGCTCTTCATATCCTCAGCATGCCCTTCTCAGTAGCGGAGGATCTTTGTATTCTTGCACGAATTGCTGGGGTTGGCCAGTAGACCTCGGATCTTGAAGTACAATCTTTATGCTTAGGAGTGTTCTAGAAGCGTTGCTTTGAAGCCTTCAAGGGTTACATTGAGTTAGCAGGCACTACCAACATGAATTGGGCCCCCCTCCGTATTGCGATTGGAACTGTAGGAGGCGGCTTATTTGGGTTTTACGTCATGCACAAGGTTGAAAACCATCACAAGGTTAGGAATATGAACTTACACGTCGTTTCAGCTAAGCACAAACTTACTACGTAGAGTCCTAGCTTTTATTCTTCATTGCTTGATCTTCAAACCTGTATCCGACTACGGCATTCTTTCGCAGGGCATATTGTTTAGGGACCTGAAGAACACGACGCGTTCTAGATTGTTTCACCAGTCTGTCGGGATTTCGTTTTTGTAGCTCTTCCTCTTTTTCAAGCACAGCTTAGCGTTTGAATTTAATCTATCCCAAGGATTCGTAGGTATGACTGTATGTGTCGTGCTTTCTTATTAGCAAATTCTTGTATTTCTCTTTGCAGCTGCTCACTCGTATACTCGTTTTCATTCAGGAGAAAATTAAATTTGAGATTGCAAAATTACAACAGGAGGAAGACCGATTGGCACGAACAGACTCGGAGAAGCTTCCAAATTAGCTTCGTGTGCCGTCGGTACTGTTGCCGAATAACTTTAGAAACGATGCTGCTCCGCTATCAAGAGCCAGTGAAGTTAAAGACCAAAAGAGTGCGAATCTCTCTTTTCCTTTCTACTTTTCTCTGTGTTTTCCCGCTAATTCAAGAGTAATAAATTGTGCCTCATCAGAGCATGGCAACTAGTGGTTGTTAGCGTATCATAGTTTCTTTCGCTTCGAGATCTGTGAAGGTCATGCCAGGATTGTTCCCAGTAAGTTTCTGGTGTGGTTGCCATTGACGGTCCTTGCATCATGTGTATGAGTATATATGGCACAATCTCGTGAACATGTTAACAGCTAGTGGTGTATTTTATTAGGTAGTGTACGAGGAGAACTATTATGCACGTGATTCTGGCACGTTGGAGCAGCTGAAAGAGCTCAGCACCAAGCGCCAAGCCTTTGAGGAATCGATCAATGGAAGTAGTAAAATTACTCCCGCTATTGCTAGGGAGATGGCAGGTGGTATTACATCTCCAATCTTGCAGGTACAAACGTCTGCTGTTCTCTCAGTTCTTCCTTCTTTCTTTCTTTATTTATTTTATTAATTTGTTTTGATCTCAGTTTCCCTACATCCTTCTATTGTGAAAGAGGACACTCTAGGGTCTCAATTCTTAGTAACACAAAAGTTGCTGTAACCATGTTATCGGGCAATCAAATTGTTATTGTTGATATTATTAGTATTATCATCATCATCAACATCATCACCATCATTACTTTTGCATGTGGTTTTTAGTTAGTTGTTGAGGCTAGAGATTTTCTGGCTTATGTAGGTTTTGTAATTCTGCCATGGCGTTTGCCGTCTTTCCATTATGGCATCTAACGACAGAGCAATGCTGCGATTGGTTGACAGGATTTGCAAAAACTAGAGCGTTATTTACCTCTACTTGAAAATTTGGTAAAATGTGTAGAAGAGAAGAAGAATAATCCTAAAATTGTTCAGTGGACGACAGACTTAGCAATTCGATGGACTAGCCCTTTAAGTGGCTCCAGTGGCAAGTTGTTTACTGGGCCGAAGTATTTCCGAGTGGATGATTTGCGTTACGAGCTTGGAATGACGTTCTTTTTGTATGGGGCGCTGCAGCGTGAGCTTGCCATGGAGGTTTTGAGTACAGGTTTGTAATGTGTTCTCCTTCGTTATGTTCTGTTATCTTTGTATTGGATACAAAAATATGTCGTGGTTGATGTGCTCCGTCTTATTGGAGTTTTCTTCGAATGATATTATAGGGAGATGATTTTAAGTAATCTATATCTTTCAGACATTGTGGAGGCCGGAGCCCTATTCAGGAGAGCTTCAGGAATATTTAAGCATTTGGCAGAGAATGTTTTGCCTCCACTTCAGCCTTTCCTACCCCCAGATAGGGGCCCAGAAGCTACTGCGTCGATGGCGGCTGTTATGAGCACTATTTGCCTCGCTGAAGCTCAGGTCTCTTTTACCATTGCTGAACACTTTCATTGAATATGATTGGTATATGTGCATTTCGATGAAGATTTAGAAATTAATTAATTCCTTACACGTATAAGATATTGTTTTGCTTGTATGTTACGTGCACGCTGGACGTTAGACGGTACTTTCGCATGTAGATCGGTCTTTTTGGTGTTTGAATCGAATAAAACGTACATAGATTTGTGTTTCCAGATCACCAATATAAATCAGGATGAGAAGACTTCAACACATTAAAATCTAATTTCATAGTTTGAGGAGTGCCAGCTTCAGAGTTGGTTTATAGGGGGCTATTTAGGGTCTTTAGTATACCGCAGATTGTACCCAAGATGTGACCGCACCTGTTGTGATACAAGTTGAGATCTTATTTGGGTTAGGTGGTGCTTATGTTGGTGGTTTGTAAAAAAGTGGTGGTTTTTATGTGTCTTGATCCACTTCAACTATTGCAGGCAGTGACAATTTTGAAGGCGGAGGAAAAGGGCACAAGTGGGAGTCTCTTGGCAAAGCTTCACTACGGAGTTGTGCAATTTCTGGAAGAAGCATCTCTATTGCTTCGCACAAGTGCTGCAGACTGGACTGATGTCTCTGACAAGTTGCGAGTGAGTTGAAGTGATAAGTTGTGTTTGATGCTACCGATTGTTTTCTATGCTTTGGGCTTGCTATGATATTCTGCCTGGATTTCAGTTCATTGGAGTTTATGCAGTTATATTGGAGGCGACACAAATTGACTTGTTGCAATTTTTTATGCACCATCTTTTTGGTCCAGAAATTCATTGGGGTTTGCAGCGTGCTCCACGAGTCACGCAGCCAGCGTTACATCGCTGCAGAGTACACGAAAGTTGAAAGCTTTGGTGTTGCTATAGGAATATTGCGATACTCCTTGAGCCGCGTGCAGTCTGTCCGTCCCAGTAAGATTTCTTCCTGCATTAACCTTGGAGACGTGCAAAGGTTCATCTCTTGTGTCAAACGGTAGCCGGTTCGGGTTAATTGCTTCACCGTGTTGGTGACCTTATGTTTACCTTGAATCTAACGCTGAATCTAGAGTCCTTCTATTGTCATTTATGAACGCTAGATTAGGTTGTGTCATTATGGACAGCTTGCCAGTTTATCTCCTGCGTATCTATGCTCTTTTATGTCGACTGATGTTCATTTCGAATTGCAGGCGAAGAAGTCTGGAAGTTACCTTTCAGACAGGAACTAGATACTTTACGGAATATGTTGAGAAAGGCTGACCATGAAAATGAGTTTATTTGGCGAGAGAAACCACCTCGAGTGGATGAACTGCCAGCTTTAGAAGGTAAACAGATAGTACAACCTATTGCGTACCAACCCTTTGGCTTGGATAGAGAGTTTATATTTGTCACGTAGTTTCGTGACCTAAGGAAGGCATGACCTTTTTATGTCATGTTCGAACCTCTTGATGTGGCTTCATGATGAGCACTTCATAGGTTTATCATGTTGATATCGGAAAGAGTCATTGCAGTATTACATAAGAACCACCGTTTATATCAATTGTGTACATGTGAGCATGCGTGATGTCAAAAGATTCAGGACTATTAGCACCTCAACAATATTATCACTCTCATTGACGTAATTTTTAGCTATTTAAGTAGCTGTGAATTGAAGTGCAGTGTTGGTGGAGTTGATGGTGTTGAGAATGTTTTAGAGAGAGACTATATTGAGTAGCTAGAAGTGATGTGCATACAGAAGTAATGTGCATACAAAACATACACACAAGAGAGAATATAGAAAGAGAGAGCTTCTAAGTTTCTGTTGTGGTTGTCTCACTTGTATACAAAGGGAAGGAGGAGAAGATAAGCAGATAAGATATTTAATGCTCTCAACACTCCTCTTTTCTTGTCATTATATTTACATAACATAAAATTTGTTTAGAATTATGATTTATACTTTTCTGTAATCTTGCATGATCAATAGTTGTTACCTTATTAAAACCTTATCTAAGAAAACTATATTGTATTTAAGAGCAAAAATCATAGATGAAGGAAAAAGAATATATCATTTCTCTTAATTATTTAAAGAGTTCATTAACTTTCTTGCTCCCTTATGCCAATGCCATAAGTAAGTTGGTGATGGTTGCACAAAGAGAGCTTTTGTGAGGAGATTCAATTTTCATTATTTTTAGTATTTGATCAATAACTAAGTTAAGGATATAACTAAAATATTTTGGATCAATATACTTTTTTTTTATCTCCTTTAATGAAACCAACTTGCATCTATACAATACAAGCACTATTGTCTTCATGCAAAATAATTGAAGAATCATCATGTGGAAGTCCACATGTTATTTGAATGAGTTTATCGATTAATTGCAACCAAATACATTCCCAAGATACTTTATATAAGGTGATAATTTTTGTATGGCTTGATGAAGTTGTAATTATAGTTTATTTCACTGACTTCTGTGATATTGCAACTCCATATCTTAAGAATACATAGGCTATTTGAAATTTAGATGTTACAATATCAGATTTATATCTTGCATTACAATATCCAATTAATTTTGGATTTGCAAATCATGTGTAATATATTCCCAAGTCTTTAGTATTTTTTAAATAATATAATAAATATTTGATGACACTTCAATGTTGTAGTGTTGGACATGCATTATATCTTGCAATAATACTAATTGCAAATGCAATATCTAGTCTTGTAGATGTGGCTAAACATAAAAGTGCTCCAACTACTGCAAGGTATGGATACTGATCTCCCAATATTTCTTCTTCTTCTTTGCATGGACGGTATGGATCATCACTATCATGACCACGTCCAACCATTGGTGTTGACAATGGATAAGTATCAATTATATTGAATCTCTACAAGATTTGTCTAATATATATTGGTTGGTAGAGAAAAATGCTACTATTTGTGAGATGCTTAATTTAAAGACCAAAAAGTTGTTTTTTCTAGCATTTTCATCTCAAACTCACAGATAAGTAGGTTAGTAGCTACAATGCATGTAGATTTACTATCTTCTAAGTTAAGATCATTAACATATACAGCAATGATCACAAAATCAATTTTATCTCATTTAATAAACAAACAAGGTATTAATAGATCACTTATAAACTTATTTATAATTAAATAATCTTGGAGATGTTGATACCACATGCATCCAAATTATTTTAGACCATATAGGGCCTTGTGTAATTTAATACCACGATATTGTCCTGGAACAAGTACATTTGGAGTTTCTATTTTCAAACTAAGTTGAATTTTTATATAAATATTTGCATTAAGAGAATCATACAAATTTGCACTTACCACATCCATGAGACGCATTTCAAGAGTAGAATGGACTACCATTCCAATAATATATTGGAATGTATTTGAATCCATGATTGGAAAATACATAGATTCATAATCAATGCCAAACCATTGGGTAAATCTTTAGGCAACAAGATAAGCTTTATTGTGGATTATTTGACCTTTAGCATCTCGCTTGCATATTAATACCATTTTATACTCCACAGGGCAATATATAAGAATGTACTCAATTGGACCAAAGACTTTCTTTCTACGCAAAAAAATATATTCTTTGTTAATGGGATTTTTTTATTTTAATGAGTCAAAGCAACACATTGTTTTCTCAATAGTTTGAGGTTTACAATCCTCTTTCTTGTAAGAAAGAGCTTTTGCAATCATGGATGCAAATGATTCATTTATTGTAATAGATGGTCTATTTTAAATGTCATTTGTAGCATAATATAGAATAGATAATTTTATACTCAACTTGGTTCTATTCCTCTCAATATTAAGATATAATTTGAACGGACATATCATTATTAATTGATAGTCATTTAAGTTTAATAGGAATTTCTATAGAAATAATATTAATATTAGTGCATGTTATAGCCTTCTTTTTATGTGGTTCTTTATTTGGTCTACAAGTCCTTTTAGTTTTAGAGGGATAGAGTCATATTAATGCTACAACATGCAAAACTGCAAGACTCCATATAGATGCAAGTAAATTTTTTAAAAAAAGAAGTGGTTGGATAATGAGTTGTACATACTTTATAAATGATTCTGCAAGTCCATTTTGAGCATTTTCATATGAAACACAATATGTCAACTCAATTCCTATTACAATACAATAAGCCTCAACTCAAAGTTCTTTATTTTATTGGAATATTTTAATAAAGTATTTTGAAGTACAGCTCGTATGTAATAAACATCCAATCATGCCACATTTATGGCAAGAATGCATCTTTGATTTTTTTTTCTATTATAATTAGTAATAGAACTTTTATTCTTTTCATATAGATAGAAATGGTTATGAACATAACTACCTTGGTGCTTATAAGCATCTTTTCCAAATTTGTATATTTTTTTCTTAGACTTTGAAATATTAAATGCATGAGATTCTACAACCATAGTTCCAATAGAACAAACTTCTATATTATGCAAAAGTAGTTCATTTTTTTCATCTATAAAAAGTAGATAGGACATGACATTAAGATGACTTTGAAATTTCATGTTTTTATATTGTTGTGCAAACATAGTAGATACAAGAAGGAATATAGAAAGAATTTTTTTAATCATTTTTTTTTCAAAGATGCTTTGTCTACACAATCGTAGTTGTAAGACAATATAATACATTTCATTGTTGAAAGCATTTAAATTTTGAAAATCTAAGATACATAAATGTATCCAATCATGATGTACACATGGAAAGAAAATGGTCTTTTGATGATCAAACCTAGATTTAAGATTCTTCCAAAGCTTGGGTGGATCTTCCATTTCCAAGTATTCATGTTGCAATGCAAGTACAAGTTGACGACAAAGGAAAAGAAGAGCTTTCCAATAGATAGCAAGAGGAATATGAATACTTATAGCAAGAGATTTTTCAAACAGAATTACATTCGAGAATTATTTTATAAATAAATTTGTATTTTTTATTTTTATCTATAATAGATAATTATTTCTATTATTAGCCAATGGTAGAAATAGAAGAGCTTAAAAATGATGGAATGTAGTAGTGATAGTTGGAAATATAGTAGAGATAGATGAAGATGTTGAAGCACTCATTATTAATAAATATATGAAGAAATTATAAAATCAAGTAGAAAAGGTTGAGTAAAATACATCTTAAAATATAAAATCAAATAAAAAAATAAAATTGAATTTGTAATCAAATATATATTTGAAAAAAAAGAATTTATAATAGATTGTGGCAGTAGCAACAAATGACGGACAGTGGATAGCAATAGCAACAGTGATGGTGATGGTGATGGCAATGGCAATGGCGACAATGATGGTTATGGCAATGGCAATGGTTACAATGACGGCGATAGCAGATAGTGACAATGATAGTGACAACGATGGTAATAGTGATAGTAATGGTGATGGCAATGGCAATAGTGATCGCAATAGTAGATAATGATGGCAATAGAATCATGAAGGTAGGCAAAAGCAAGAAGGAAGTAAATAAAGAGCAAGCAAGCAACAAGTAGGTAGGACAATGCAGTTTAGTAAAAAAATTGACGGAAAGCTAAAGGACAAGGTGTATACAAGTTTCTAAGAATCAAGAGTATTGTACAAGAGCAATTATGTTGATAACGTGTTGAGAATGTTTTAGAGAGAGACATAAGAGTAGCAAGAAGTAATGTACACACACATACATAATAGATATATAGGCACATAAGAAAATATATAGAAAGAGAGAGAGCTTATAAGCAAAAACTATGTATTGATGTGATTGTCTTACTTCTATACAAAGAAAAAAAAAGAGAAGATAAGTAGTTTTTTCTTATTACATTCTAAACACTGTAGCTACAATATTCTTTATAACTACAATAAATGTTATAGAGAGTGCCAACTATATTTAATGCTCTTAAAAATTGGAATCCAAAAAGGTCATTTGAAACTAACTCTTGGTGTGCAAATATAACTCTTATTTCAATGATATTAAATATATTATTTGTAGATAACCAGCTTGAAAAGATATCCACATATTTTTACACGAGTTGTCATGAATCAAAACCAAAACATTTGCAAATTTATTTCTCACCATAAAAGGCAAGTGTATGGTTTTAAAGGAGCTATTAATTTCAAAATTTGCATGGGTTCACTAATATTTAAAATATTCTGAAATTAGCCTTATCAACTAACTTACGATTTTGATCTAAAGAAAAAATTGCAGAAAATGAAGAATGAAGTACTACTTATTTCTGGTGGCACCACTTTAATTAATGTTAATATTGGTGGCATCATAGTAACTTCTTATGTTCTTGCTTACTATTCTACTAGCATTGTGCCATTGGATTATTTTGGTGGATATCACCCATAAGTAGGTACAAACTTCTGGAGCGGATAATAAAATCATAAAAAATTGTTGATTTAAATTTATATTTAATATTCTAAATAATATCATTTCAATTGCAATATAATGATTTAATTTAATTTTTTGTGTAAGTTCCATTATCATAATATAAATAATGATAAAAATATTTTTTTAAAAAATACATTGTGAAATAAATAATAATAAAAATGAT